AGCAGGAGGAACGAGCCAGCAAAGCCCTACCCACAGCACAATGTTATCACAGCAACACCAGCCTATCTGATGGGACAGGAGATGTCCCCAGCCCGTGACAGTCACCTGGGGAGAGTGGCTGTCCCCTGAAAGGGCAAAGGCTCCTGTGAGGGCTGAGGGGTGACGTGTACCCCATCCTTAGGGCATCACCCCACAGATGCAGGGAGGACGCCAGATGCTTTTCAGAAATATCCAACTGAAACATGCCCCAGGTGCATGGAGTAGCTTGGAAGAGCTCAGTGACACTTGTGCACACAGGAAAAGAGGTGACAGAGAATTGCTAGGAAAAGCAGGGGTTTTATCTGCCATCAGTGATGCCGGGTCCAGAAGTCCAGCCTCATCCCAAAAGGACCAGGTCCAGCCCTGTCCAGAGCCCTCACATCCCTGCAGACACCAACCTTCACCCCTCTGCAGCCTCCTGCCTCTCACCAGCCCACACAACCCCCCAGCAGCAGCTTCAAGGATTAACTCTCCATCCCAAAAACCCCCCAGACCTCCCAGGTCTGCCCAGTGCCTTTGCTGGGGGCCGGGAGGAGCCAGCACCATCCCGAGCACACGGCGGGTGATTTACCCCAGCACAGGATTGAGCTCACCTCTCTCCACCCCCACGCCATCCCTCTCCTTCCCCGAAGGGATCTGTCAGGTCTCTACACGATGGAATTTTACTTTGCTATTTTAATGCAATTCTGGCTCAGGCTTAAATGGAACTGGAAACCAAAAGGCCTTAATAAATAAATATTATGATAAGAAATGAAAGCAATGCATACACTCAAGATAATTTGAGAGGGGATAAAAACCTAAGCATTCCTTTCTAAGCCTAAATCAGAAAGCTTTACGTGGAGCTGGACCTCTTCTTACCAAACCTTTGCCCTGGAAAATCTCCCCCATGCCTGCCCAGACTGCCCTCCTGAAAAGTCGCCTATTGTTTTAAAAACACTTTGAGCCAGATAAGACAATAGCCTTGAAATTCCTTCTAACTTTGTCAGTGACAGGGCTCAGGGAGACCATGTGCAGGGCTGAAATATGCTTATTACTGATGCCTGCAAGAGATCTTTAATTCTATCCTGCACTCCTGCATTTCATTCACACTCTATTTAATCTCGCCGTGCGCATAAACATGCAGCTACTACACCAGCAAGAGCCAAAGCTGGGTTTGATCAATCTTACATACTGTTAAGTGCTATGGAAAAAAAAAAAAAAAAATTCAATAGAAAAGCCAACAGATTGTACAGATAGTGGAGAATTAAGGAGGAAAAAAAAAAACCACCCTTGGAGACAGCCAACAGGAGCACGCACATAGGGCTGTGTGTGTAGAGCAAAATCTGAGCTAAATATAGAGGTGCTATAGAAAACCTAAGGTATAGATAGACCCTACATAAAGCTGCATGTGTACGTTTGTGCAGGAGAAACTCCGGCTCAGCACGGGAGTGGTGAAACAG